GAGCACGCGTCTGGCGGCGGCTATTACTGTGTTCTACCCCAGACTGAACCTGTACTACAAGGGCTTTCTCTGGTCCCCTGTCCCCAAGACAGTAGTCCCTTTCTGACAAAAGAGTCTGCACATGAGGGTGAGCAAACCCAAGCTGTTTACAGCTCTTCCTTGTCCTACCATCCCAGTTGCTGTTAGTTTTCATCCCACTTGAACAAAGCGCAAAGGCACAGGAGTGGGGAGGAGAGGAGTGAGGCAGTGGGTGCCTCAAGTCCCCTGACCTTCCCTCTGTGTGTTCTGAATATGTCCTTGTCCTTCCGCTCACTTCAACCGGCTGGGAACCTGTTCAGGGTCATCCTCAAGCTTGCGTTCTTGGTGTGGGCTCACAGATCCCCACCAGCCCAGTTCAGAGGAGGCTCTTCCTAAAGTGACCCATCTCTAAGTCATTCTGAAACAGAGTCGTGGACAGAAGATGCTTCCAGACTCTCGGAAGTTGCGAGAACTGAACTAGGCCACTTGGGGTCTGTGTTTGGATTCTCCCCTCCCCTCCTTTTTTCTTTGTGGCGGTTCCTAACCTGCTGCTGAAGCACAATATTTTGGTGCTTTCTTTTCTCATTTGTTAAAAGACAGTGTCCAAAAGCCATTCCGGATGCCAGGACCAGGGGCTTATTTTTAGGGAAGGTAGGTCAGTTCCCACAGTTCCCTCCCCTTCCCTTATTATTTTTGTTTTTTACTTTTTGCTTGAGAGAAGCTGAGTGTGAGGTGGTTTGATTTAGGAAAAAATCAATGAAATTGTTTACTATTGTTTTAAAATAAAACCTGAAACTCTGGCAGCTCAAAAAAAAAAAAGTCAGAAATGTTAAATGTAATTGAATACTTTTGGGTAATCTACCTATATAATCATGTAATTTAAAAAATATTAACCAATACTAAAAGACTTGTCATTCTTTGATATGCTCTGAGGGATGAACAATGTTTTTTGGACATATTTTTCAATTCTATCTATCAATACTTGAACTAGGTTGGTCTGTATGTTTGTTTCTATTTTTAAGTGTAATTTTTGTTAAGTTATTGTATCTGTTTTCATTTTATGCAATGGGTAAGGTAGCTTTCTATCTTTGTCTGGACTATCTTTGTCTAGACTATAAACACCTAATATTTATTTCCTAAATAGTATGGATGATCTCACCAATAAGACCATTGGTTTCAATATGAAAGTATTTTCTATTCCGTTAATGGTTACCAAGATTTTCACTCATTGTCTTAAGATGTTCAAATTTGTCAGAATCAAGATAATATATATAAATATATATAGTCTTGTATAACAATTAATAAATAAAGCCATTGGCACATTTATATTTATATTGCATCTTTATTATATTTTAATATCTCTGATCTCTGTTTTTCTCTTTTAAAAATCAAGTTTTAAATATTTGACATGTTGAAAAACTAGCTATAGATTTTCCTGTTTTTAATTATTTAATTTCTACTTTTTTAAATTTTATTTTAATTTTTTTTTATTGAATGGTAACTATATACATTAATGCAATTCTGGGGTACAGTATGGTGTTTTCACATACAATTTGAAACATTTCCATCAAACTGGTTAACATAGCCTTCATGTCATTTTCTTAGTTATTGTGTTAAAATGTTCATATTCTACTCTTAGAAAGATTTAATTTCTACTTTTATCTTTATTATTATTTTCTGCCTTCTTCTTCTCGTGAGTTTATTTTATTACTGCTCTTCTAATTTGGGGATTAAGGTTAAATGAGGTCACAAGGGTGGGGCCCTACTCCCTTAGGACTGGTGCCCTTCTGAGAAAAGGATGAGAAAACCTGAGTGCACACATAGGAAAGGCCATGTGAGGACACAGCTGCCTGAAAGTCAGGAAGAGAGGCCTCCCCAGAAACCAGCCCTGCTGGCACCTCAGTCTTAGGCTTCTAGCCTCCAGAGCTGTGAGAAAATAAATTTCTGTTGTATAAGCCACCAGTCTGTGGTATTCTGTCATGGCAGAACAAGCAGTTTGGACTTCACACCATAATACCATTGGATCACAAATATTTTCATAGTGAATTGTGAATTCTGAAGGGCAGTAAGGAGGGAGGGAGGGGGAAGGGATAGGGGAAGGTATGTGGCTGTTTTAAAACCAGTGCTTGGATTTAGAGGAACCGCAACTCATTTTCAGGTACCACTGAACCAGGTAGGAGAAATCATGATACATATTTATTTCAAGAAACAGGAGAAGCTTGGATAGATTTTTTTTTAAAACTCAGCTTCATAAAATGATAAGTAGTACTGATTCCCTCCATTCTTCCTAATTCCAGAAAGGTGGGAAGCTACTCTTAGTTTTTGCTATAGTATATTTTGATGTTTTTCTTAGTTTTCATAAGATTGAGGTAAGATTTTTGCAGAGCAACTTCTACTTGTGGAAACTGTAACAGACTATGTCAGAGCATCTCAGCAGGCTCATGAAAACCCTCTCTCTCTAGGAGAAGCCAACTTGATATTCTGAAGGGCTCAAAATAGGAGGTTGTCGAGGTATCTGAATACTACACTAGAGTGAAGAAGCTCAGATGCACAAATTTTGTCTTTTGAAATTTGCATATTTGTGATAACATTGAGGGTATTACTCATAAAATATCCCAGTCCTGAAAACAGGCCCTAAAAACCAGGACAGTGGTTTTTCTCCACCAGTTTCAAGCCACAAGGAACATGTGTGGCTCTTGTAACAGTGCTAAAAGGAGAGCTAACACAGACATGGCAAGTCAGGGAATGAGGCGTTCTATTTTTTGTTTGTTCATTTGTTCAGTCGTTTATTCATTATCCAATATATTGTCGTGCAACTACTGCAGACCTGGCACTGGGCGAGGTTGTAGATGACAAGGCCATAACTAAGATGAATAACCTGTGTGCTGACTCTTTCGGTGGAGTTCTCAAGTAGCTCCTCAGGGCTGTGGGTGCCCCTGTGGTAAATCAAGTGTGTCCATGCACGTGTGGAATATTCTCCTGGGAGCTCCAGTGGTCAGAGCCCTGGGCTGGAAGTTCTAGGGCAAGTGTACAGATTGGGCTTCCACATAAGGAAGCATTTTCTAGCAGTGCTAGCCACTGGAATGACTCAAGCTGAAGATGTCCAGGATGCTGGGGAAGAAGTCCCAGAATTCACCAGCTAGAATGATGAGGTCCTTGTGGACCGGTCTATGTCTCATTCAGTTTTGTAATCAGTGCCTCACAGTGCCTGGCACACAGCAGGCATCCAATAAAAGCTTGGCAGGTAAATGAGTGGGTGGAAGTGTAAAGTGGAAGAGGGGCTGCGTTAGATAATCTTCCAAAGTCCCTGCAACTCTGAGATTCAGCAATTTCATACTGAGTCAGTGCCCAACGGGGTCTGACTTAATATGAAAGGTAAATAAAGCTTCTCACCCCCATCTCGAAGCTCGGAAAGACTCACCGTGCAGCATGGCTGCATCCAGGGCTCCCCATCCACTTGCATTGGCAGCAGCTTGTTGGTCCTGGAACCGGGAAAACCAAAAAAACACAGTAAGCTTCTTGGTGTTGCAGAATCGAGATTGTACCCAGAAGGAAAGCAGAACTGGGAAGATGTTATCTGCCCATCTAGCAGTGTTTCTTGAAGGCTTTCCTGGGGACTTGGTAAAAATAGATCTCTGAGCCCACCTCAGGGGTTCCCACGTGGCAGGATGGGGGCCAGGCCCGGGAATCCTCATTGTAATGAGTAGTGCAGGTGATTTTCTTGCCTTGGGCCTTAGACCCCGCTTTGTGGAACACTGCTGTAGGTAGGCAGTGAAATCTGCAGGAGTCTGGGAAACAGTGTCCATCAGGCAGCAGCACTGCTGAGCAGACCCTCCTCCGTCAAACAACCAGCCAGAGGGCCTGCAGTGTGTGCCAAAACCCCCTCAGAGATAGGGAAAGGCCTGGTCTCCATGTTGAGTGAGAGGTTGCGTCATGTCAATGAGGTAACGTCTCTAACCTATACCAGGTACAGCTCAGGTCTGAGTGTGTCTCGCCTTGCACTTGGTCCAAACCTCTATCCTTTTTTATCTCCTGGGCAACAGTATACTCTGGGGTTGCATGAACTGAGGACCTGGCTTAGCAGGAAAGAAGGTCATCCAGGAATGTTGTCTCCATGGGTAGGAGGAGGGGAGTGGAGAAAGTGTGGGCTTCCTGCTTGGGATGACGCTTCTTTAGCAGGAAGAAGGACCCTTAAAAGGAGGGAGATGAGGTCCTCTGACTTCCTTCTGTAGAAGTTAGGAATTTGGACCACATTGCCTTGGAGAGGAAAGGCAGGCTGGTTTGGAGGCCTCTGTTCTGGGTGAGTGGGGAATAGTTACCACCCACTGACTGAGAAGACCTTGCCTGGGCTTGGCATCTGCTCTGTTTTTGAAATAAAATGAGAGGGGAAAGCGGTGTTTTGATGTGATGCTTCTCTGACTAACCCTGAGGATATTTAATAATAAAAACAATAATCCTAATAACAAAAACAAATAATAAGAGGAAAGAGTGGCATTTTGGTTCTTGGAGCTGAGGAGAGTATTTGGGAAAAGCCCAGGAGGATGGGGCTCTGGGCTCACCCTCTCTGTTTTGATCTGGAAATAGATCTTTTGAATATGAAGAAAAAGTGCTCCTTCTCCACGGCTTTGTTGATTCCTCAGGGATCAGGATATTATGTTCTCTGTGGTCTACATAAGTTATGGCTTAGATATGCTCACAGACTGGACCCACTCAGTACGAGAGTCCTGGAGAAGGGCCAAGGCTAAAGAGATTAATCTGGAAACCAGGGGCCCCAGCACAACAATAGCTCAGAAAGAAAGCAGAGCAAAGCTCTGGGGAATAGGAAAGGCAGAGAAGGCAAAGAGAGAGAATAAAAAAAGGGGTTAGTGGAAAAGGCCTTCAGTTAAGCACCATCAGGGAGCCAGCGGTGGTAGTGCCAGGAGCCAAGTTTCTTGAATGTGCTCTGAAGACACTTGCCCAGGAGGTTCTGGGAGAAAAGGGTTCAGCGGTCCAGCACCTTCAGGAAAGCCCTGCCTGCTGTGGTCCCCTCTGGGAGATCTCTAAGGTATATATTTTTTTCTTTTTTTTATTGAATGGTAACTATGTACATTAATGCACTTCTGGG